TAACTACCCATGTGATTCCTAGCAAGTTACTGGGCTTCCTTGGATCTTTCTTTCCTTATTTGTCAAATGAGCGTGTTGGATTTGATGATATACATATAGAATGTATGGAAGGATGAAAGAGACTGAGACATCATGTAATCCCACTCCCTCAATTTATAGATAAGGAAAACTGATTTCTTCTGGCTCCAAAATACATTTTTAGAGGAACATACGGCTTCCTAACAGAACCAGCTCTTCTGAATACTGGGGCTACCCCACAGTCCCATCCCTGCCACTTGTCAAATGTGTAATCATGATCCACTCATACAGTTTCTCTAGACTTCAGTTTCCTGATATGTAAAATTGAAAAAGTTGGACAAAGAGCCTTTCAGGTTTAAAACTTTGAGGTTAAGAAAGGCATCTTTGAAAACTGACATCTTTGCCACTACTGGGATATGACTCAGAACATAATGAAGCATAATATAGCTCTAGAAATAAATTGGTGTCAAGAACAATTAAAGAGCAACCATCCAGAGAATTCTGATTGATCATTTGGGTAATTTGTTCAGTGAGTACCTGGATTTGAAAATTGCTTGATTGGTGTCTTCTTTTAAAAATAACAATCATACATCATTTGTTGTTGGCTTAGAGATACAGAAAAAAAAGAACCAATTAAGAGAGCTTCAGAGTTCATTTCCAATAGATTTGGATGCTGCAAACCAAAAAAACCATTGCTAGGCCTTTCTTCTTTAATGAGTATCACAATACAACTAGCCTCAGTATTTTTCAATTGAGCACCAGAAGTTTCACAATCTATTTAATATATTGCATTCCAAGTATCTGTTTACTCAGTTGTTACAAATTGCCAATGGGACAGAAACTGTCTGTCACTTCCAGAGCAATTAGTGTGTGAAAACTTATCAAAAGAAATCTGTCAAGTTTGAGTAAGTATAAATATTGCATGAAAGTCCCTAAGGAAATCAAACTGAGTGGGATACACTTTTGCGAGTTGTAGCACATAAAAGTTTATTTTGTTTTATTTACTTGGCTTTATTTTTCAGAATGTTGATAGCGTTTCATGTAACCCAATGGATTACTGTTTTGCTCTGATAAAAATAGGTTTTGGTTCTTAAGGGAAATCTCAATTGTCTTTTGAGCGATAGAATAATACCAGATCTTGGTTTCAAATGTCAAGAGCGCTTACTTTTTCCTAGATGGTACACTGGGATGAGAGTTAAGCTAGAACGAGTAGGTTATAGTCTGCCTCACCCCTTTTTGGTGCTCCAACCTTACCCTTTCTAGACCTCAGAATTTTCTTATCTTTTAAATGAAGAAATAGGACAAGCAATTTGTTGCGTATGTTTTAGTTTTACTACACTTTTTGCCTGCTTTGATGTCTACATTCTCATTACATTATATTCCTCCTGCTCCTTCCTGATTGCCCTGAAGACATAAACAAGTGAAACTACAATATTCCAGGTGGTGATATTTGATTGAGAAAAGAACTAAGTTAATGTCTTAGTGAGAGATTTCCCCTGTTTTAGGAGCTTAGTGCTTAGCCCAACATGTTCTCACCAGTACACCAGCCAAGACTTTTCTGCTGACCTTTCCACTTCAGGACAGGACTCCACAGTCTTTACAAACGTCAGACGTTGAACCATGTTGATTAGGTTCCTTAGCATCTTCTGTTTGAGGTTCTTCTTGGCAACTATGGTTTCTTCTTTTTTTATTTCAGCATAAGAAATGGTTACACTGCTATATTGTCATTACAATTGGGGAAACATTACAACTTTAATTCAACATTTTGTTGTTGTTGTTTGTTGTTCTATTTAATGTTAATGATTTTGCAGAAACTGAAGTAATACAGTTAATAATTCTTATATTCTACTTATTGTTTTTTGAATTGAACTAATTGGTACAGCGTTTCCCAAACTAGGTTTTTTGAGCTATGGGGGTTAGGTGGTTGTGGTGGTGGTAATTCCATGAGCAAATAAGTTTGGATGCTTAAACACTCTCTAAGGAGTTTCAAGGACATTGGCATGTCAAAATCTCTTGCCAGTCCTGAAAGAAAAAAGTTAAAACTCCATTTTATTTTGTTTATCCAGTGCCTCTCAAAGTAATTTGATCATGTAACCCTTTGAGTTTTAGGGATGTGGGGGTAGAAAACAAAGAATTAATCATCAAAGACCACTGTTTAGGAAATGCTGCACAAGGCACTTCTGGGTGTTTGCATCTCTCACTCAGTTACTTAAGTCACATAAACAGGGAAGCCAAAGGAATCAACTTATTTTTAATTAGATCAAACCGCATGTTAATTGAATAAAAAAGTTTTACTTCTATAATGATTAACCTGGTGAAGTGCAACACCAATAATAACATCTGTACAGCCCTTTAGAGAGTTCAAAGTGCTTTCACATAATCAGATCCTCACCACGTACCTGCATCACATTTTAAATTGTCCTCATTTTATGGACCAAGAAACTGAAAATGAAGTTTAAATGGCTTCCCTTATGTAACACAGATTTGAACTTCAGTCTTACTTCGTTGTTGTTGTTGTTGTTCCTCTCCAATTAGAAAAATAATGAAGCAGATGCCATTTTCCCAATATCGACTTTCCAGTTGCTAAATGAGTCTCCTGCAGAATTCAGAGAGCCTTGCAGCCAGTAGCCGCTACTGAGAGTTCTGAAAAATATTGCAGGGAAAAAAAAAAATCATTTCCTGGCCAGGTGCGGTGGCTCACACCTGTAATCCCAGCACTTTGGGAGGCCGAGGCAGGCGGATCACCTGAGGTCAGGAGTTCGAGACCAGCCTGGCCAACATGGTGGAACCCTATCTCTACTAAAAATACGAAAATTAGCCAGGTGTCGTGGTGGGCACCTGTACTCCCAGCTTCTCAGGAGGCTGAGACAGGAGAATTGCTTGAAGGCAGGAGGCAGAGGTTGCAGTGAGCCAAGATCATGCCACTGCACTCCAGCCTGGGCAACAAAGAGCAAAATCCCATCAAAAAAAAAAAAAAAAGTAGTTTCCTGTATTTGCTTTCAACTCTTCTTGGAGAAATGTGGGTTGATTAATATTGTGCTGGTAAATTACATTCTAACTTCCATCATGTGACTTTGGAGGTGCTAGTTTATACTTAAAACTCTCTTATAAATAATTAGGAGATAGGAAATCTTCTCATTTTGCATAGGAGAAAGTTGAGGTGCTGACAGATGACTAGGTTTGCTTGAAACTCACCTATTGAGTACGTAAGGAGTGCATTGCTATGCTGTTTGTTAAAAGCCTACCATACAGGATAGTACTTCTTCACAATGTATTATAGGGGCTTTTCCTCCCCTAGATTTTTGTTTCTTGAGGAAGTAACCAGCTTTCTGGAAAGCACTTGCGTATTTACACTGAGTATCCTCTTGACATCAGCATGGGGTTACTTATAATTACATGCACATTCGTAAATAAAATGATTAGCCATTCTCATATAAACATAATTATATCTTTCTAAAATAATACATGTGGAAACGTTATAATCCAGTGATAAAGGGAAAACAATCTGCATGACCCTTCCTTTGTGTGTAAACAGTGGATTATTAAGGCAGAATATGCTTCCTGTTGCACATTCAGTTGTTGAGGTCAAGTACAATTGGGACACATTGAAGGATTACAGTACAAAAAATGACTTTTACAGTAATTAGCGTTCTCTCTACAAAGCTGAAGTGACCTTTCTGCTATTTTCCAAGGACACTTTATACATTTAGGCTTTAGCTTATGATCATATGAAAAAGTGACATATAAGAACTCAGCCAACTAGTTCTGAAACCAGAGGCCCCATTGCATTTAGTTGTTCCCTCACCCTCCTCTCAACAAAGTAATTTTTGAAGATAAAGTGGGACATGTTGGCTAATCAGTGCCAGTAGCTAGTATATCACTTCTCTAGCTTTGGACAAATCTGGAAATTACACTTTAAAGAGAGGAATCATGGAATGCCTGGAGCTGAAGCAGTTTGATTTCCTTGGAGCACGATAGTTCACTGCAGCAAATCATTTAAACTCACTGTCATTTAGCGGTCTTCTCTGAAATGGAAAGCATGGGATCATGTGGTCCTTCATAAAACATTTACATAATTCTTATAAAAATTGGAACTTTCAAAGGAATGTTTTCAGATACAACTGCCTATTCATCCCACTGATATTATGGGATAAGTGTCTGTGAAAATGTTGCTCTTGTATCACTATTTCATATCCACGCCCTCATGGATCTAATTTTTTTTAATACGATGTATATTTGTGGAATCAGTCAACTAGTCAGTCAGTGTGTACTTGATGAGTATTTGCCACAGTATTAAACTGCTCTCTTACTAAAATGATGGAAAAGTATTCAACCTCACAAGTGAGAAGAAAGAATTTGAGTTGATAGCAGGAGGCATTGGAAGAAGACTGCACTGAGACTCAGGAATTATTCTGTTTCTAACTAGAGCTAAGAATTTGAATAAGTTACTCTGTTCCTAGGTGCTAGTTTCTCAGTTAATGGAAATAAAACTATCCAATATATTGGAAAGCATAAAGTACTATGCAAGTATGGGGCATTATGATATAATACAACGATTACTATCTATAAAACAAAATAAATGAACTAAATAGTTTCCAGGGTGGCTTACAGCATTACTATATCAAGATTATAGACACCCTGGGTCTGTAATTTGAGCATTACTCAATACATGTTGCATAGTGCCTGACACATGATTAGCAAACTATAAATGCTTAGCCCTTGACTTAAAGAGGTTGGACATCACTTAATCAGCTATCAGTGGATCTTTTACTTCTCTGGAGATGAAACCTTATTGACTGATAGTAGAAAGGCTGGTAAAATGCCATAGGGAACTGTGATTACTTCCTATCTATATTTAGTAGGCTGAAAAAGAGTCACTGGGCAACAGTATATAAATTTTTAACCTGATCATTTCTTTCATGAAAACAGTAGAGTTCCAGGGCCAAAAGACATATTTGTAATGAGGATTTTTTTACTTTCAGAGTTGAGTTATGCCTGGATCTTCAATGAATATCCTTCCTATCAGGATAATCGCCGCTTTGTTTCTCAAGAGACTGGGAATCTGTATATTGCCAAAGTAGAAAAATCAGATGTTGGGAATTATACCTGTGTGGTTACCAATACTGTGACAAACCACAAGGTCCTGGGGCCACCTACACCACTAATATTGAGAAATGATGGTGAGTTTTCTAAGTCATTTTGTTAATTTTGTTTTTTGCAATCACAGGATGAATGTGAAGGTATGTTATGTTATTGGCTCACAAAGCTTTATTGTCTAAATTAAATGTAAGAAAAGTTTAATGCTGCCTATATTTGGTACCCATATTTTCTCCACTTGTGTAAGAGATAAACCCATGAATCCATTTTGGAAAACTAATTAGAAATCTAATTGCTAATCTCAACAGGAATAGAATGAGGATTTAAGTGAATATAAATAACAAAGGAAGGTATTTCTTGTTTCTCTCCCACTTAAACTGTATACACAGTCAGAATGAAGTGAAAGATTGAACAATTAGCTCATTAATCAATTATATGTAACTTAGTATTCTGTGTCCAATTGTCCAAATAACCTCTGGATTTACAATACTGAACGCATAGTTCCCACCACAGTGAAATGTAGACATAACAAGGCTTATTTGAGACAGAAGTTTTAATTCCCCACAGTATTAGAATATTTCAAGAGAATATATGAAATTCATATATTCTTAATTACCTAAATGACTTAACAATGTGTAGTAAAAATCACCGTGTACTTTGTAAAGACAGCCGTGTATGCCAAACTCTAGGAGTACCATGCCCTTTCCCACCACAGGGTTTTATATATGCTGTTCCCTCTTCTTGAAATGCTCCTCCTTTCCTTAGTCCTCTCCTCTCAGCTTCTCCCTTGGATAACTGATACTGGTTCTTCCAGTTTCTTCAAAGATATCACTGTTTCCAGGAAGCCATCTCTGCTTGCCCACGCTGCCACCCAACCATGCTGTGTCAGGTACCTTCTATATCAAGTCTATGACCATACCCCCCAAGATCTCATAATTCTGCATCACAATTGTCTGTGTGCTTCACTGTCTGTCTTACTAGCAATTTGCCTTTTTTAAAGCACATGTAGGACCTTAGTCACAGCCACCTCTGCTGCACCTGGTTTAGCACCTGGTACATCGAAGATTCTCAATAAATATTTGTTGAATAAATTCAAACAAAGACATAATTAAGCCCTTCAACAAGGGCTGATATCATGATTTAAGCAGTCATAGTAGACATGTTCAGGTTTCTATTCATTTAAAATCCTTTTACTGTCCAGTACACATTCAGATCTTCCATTATGAACAGTAATGACTAGACATCACACGAGTGAGGATACTATCAGCCAAAAACATTAATAGCAAACATCTATTTGACATTTAATATGTGCCTAGTCACTGTGCACAGAACTGTGTGTGAATTATCTCATTTAAATCTCAAGCAATTATATGATAAACATTCTCTTTCCAGGTGGGGAAACAGGGGCTCAGCCACATTCATTAAAAATTAATGGCTCCAAGATTTCCACCCAGCACCCATGTCTTAACTGACTCCAGAGCCTGATATCTTAAACCCTCACAGTGCTTCCTTGCATTATACTATAACAACTCTTATTTGAACTTGTATAAGAAAAACTTGACAAATGCAAGACTAGAACTCAGATTTCTGTTCCCCAAGTTTGTTACTCTTTTCCTCTGTTTTGTCACTGAACTTTGTGCCTAAGTGAGTCTCTGAACCTGAACCTTCCAGAACATAGTATTTACAGACTGAGCAGCTCTGAAGAGAGGGTCTGAGCATCCTTACTACATAGACTATATGTGGAATTTTCAAGCAAATAATTTAGATTTTAACCATTCATTTATTCATCCATTTAACATACATTTATTTAGAACTTGCTGTGTGACAGCCACTATGCTGAGTGCTGGTGAACAGGAGGCACTTGCATTCTCCTGGGGGATGCAGACACAAAGAAACAAATAAACATAAACAAAACCAAAATCCTATTATTTTAGATAGCAGTAAACCAGTATGATAAAATGACAGCTCTGTGGTGTGGAGAGGGGGCACAGTGGGTGTCTACTTTAGACAGCCATGGAAAGCCTTTCTAAGGAAGGGACACATGAGCTGAGACCTGAAATAACAAGAAACCAGGCCTCTTAAGATCAGAGGGCAGAGCTTTCCAGGCTGAGTTAACATCATGCAAAGGCCCTGAGGCCTGAAAAAAAGCACTCAGCATGTTCAGGGAACACGAAGAATGGTGCATGGTTGGAGCATACTGAGCAGGGTGGAAGGTGGATAGAATTAAGGTTAAAAGAGAGTCAGGGACCAGAACATGGAGGCCATAGAGAAATTACCAGATTTTAGTTCCTGTGCAGTGAGAAGCCATTAGAGAATTGTATGCAAAAGAGTGATTTATGTTTTTAGGAAGATTGCTTAGCTGCTATGTGGAAAATGGACTTTCAGAAAACAAGAGCGAAAACTGGAAATCCAATCAGAATACTACTGCAATTAATTCAGTTGTGAAATGATGGCGGGTTAAACTAGGGAGTAACAGCAGAGAAGGAGAGAAATGGATTCAGGATATAGTTTGCTGGTAAAGCTGCCAGAACCTGCTCATTCCTTAAATGTGGGAGATAGTGGAAGAGAAAATCAAGGATGACACATAGGTTTCTGACATAGCAGCTGAGTGTATGGGAATGCCCTTTACTGAAATGGTTTTACTACACAGGTTTGCAAGGGAAAAATCAAGAATACTATTTTAAGCATTATTTGTAAAACCAAATACATAACTTCTCCCTTGGCAATGGGAAGAATTATTTGTTTTGTGCTTTTTTGGCCATCTTTCTATCATAACATTCATCTGGTATATTCAAATATGTCGGCTTGCCTTCCCTACCTCGCTCACATTATGATCAAGGAAAGATCATCATTTTCATTTGACTTTATACTGCGCTTCAGCACAGTGCTTGCCACATGGCAAATGTTAAATTAATATGTTGCATTGAGCTACATTATATTAAATAAAACGGAAAATTCTTATCAGCTTACAGAGAAAAGTAGGTAAGGTACTAGCTCTGTCAAAAGCTATCAGTGCTATCTCTCCAGACTGACAGATGAAGAAACTTTCAAAAGATATGCTCCAGTGGCATTTTGTAAGAAATCGCTTAAAAATGCAGCCCCTCTGGCTTCTACCCAAATGCACTTATGCCAGAATATCTGTTCAGTGGTATTATCTGTTTTGGTCTATCAAGTCACAGATGTAATTACATATTGACTTTGATATACTGTGACATAGCCAGGGACAGACGTCACACAGAACTGCCTCTTCAAAAAATAAGAAATAAACATTCAGGAGCACGAGCACTCCAGAATCATCATGTACACTTAAAACTGGCAACAACTCTGCCTTTTCCCTGGCTTTTAGATTTGTCTTGATTTGTCTTGTATATCTTCATAGAGATGACAAATATTTTGTATTAAAATATTTTATCACAAAGTTAGCAGACTAAGGATCTCATTCTTCAGCCATTAATGCCCACTCATTCTTAATTTCCATGAGCATTGCATGGTGAAAATTCATGTCTTTTCCATTAACACTGGAGTACATAAAATGGACACTCAAACTGTGTTACTAAGCAGAAAATAGGTTATTTAATTAGCTGTTTTCTGAAGGTGAGAGAAAAAGGGAAATATAAATCAAGGAGAGATTGCAAAATAAAGAAGACATTCCTGTTAAAATCTATTCTGTGACAGTAAAATCAATGAAATTCTCTCTCTTCAAGATCTGGGATTTGGTGACTGTGTATTAGACTGATAAGTGCAAGGAGAGTATAGAGTTTTTACAATCATTTTGATCATTGAAGCACACTCAAAATTTCACATCCTCTGCCTGCCTCAGAAAAGGAAAAAAAAAAAAAAAAAAGTAAGGCAAAGGAGTTTGAAGCCTGAGCTGAACTAATGCTAGACTTGTCATTTCCCTAGCTAAGAGCACATGTAGCCAGGATAATTGTATTTCCCCAATATTCAGCTTGTTTCCTGGGCATTTCAGCTAAGCAGTCTAGACTATGATTCCTTATTTGCAGCCCAAGAGGCCATGGTGAGTCATAAAAGGTGAATAGTGAACCTTGGCTCAGTTCCTGATACAAACGAGGTGTGATGAGTTCCATGTCTGTTCACTGACCATTTGCCACTCACCCCAGTCCTGCAAAACCCTGGGGCTCCCTGTTTGCTTTTCCCTGGCTCTTCACATGGCTCACTCCTTCCTACATCTCAAATGATGGCTCCAATGTGGGGCCAGGAGGTAAGGACACAAGCCATGAGGATCCTGGAGCCAAGTAGTCCAGGCAGAGTTCAGCCTCACCGTTTATTAGCCATGTGGCTTTGGATGTGTCAGTTTAACCTCATTGTACTTGGTTTCTCATCAGTGAGATAAGGGTAACAGCATCTACCTCAGATAGTTATTTTGTATGTTGTAATTGAAAGTGCTTTGAACAGTGACAGAAGTATACCATCAATAACTTTCTTACCTAGAATATGATCAACAAATTATATTTTTAAAAGACAGATTACAATAGTGTATAGACCTTATTATTATTCTTTTTTAAAATAGTGTATAGTGACAGAGAAAGGTGGGATAATACTCTCCAAAGTGACAAATGATGTTAAACTCTAAAGTGTTTAACTTTTAGTGGTAAAGTTTGATTTTTTTTTTTCTTTTTGCTTGTCATTATTTTTCTCACTTTTCTAAAACATAGCGTTTTCAAATTTTTAGAACATTGTTTGATAAAGGGGTTATACCCAGATCATTGGACCTAATAGGCACTTAGAGATCACCCAGTTTTATATCTTTATTTTTTGAGAAACAAGGGAACTGAAGACCAGAGAATTCAGATAAGAAAAGTGGTGTCAGGACAGATTCCTGGTCCTTGGCCATCATACTATTTCACTGAGGTTCAGAAAAGGCTGTTTGGGCTCTAGATTGATACATTTGCTTCATTTCTTTTGCTTCATAATTTTTGAGAATTTTATAGTGAGAATTATTTCAAATGACTGTTATTTTGCAGTATTCACTTCTGGGACACATAAAAATACGAGTTGTTAGACATATGTGAGAAAAATTTTTATCAGAGTTTATAGTTATTTATCCAGATATTTTAAAATC